AACAGGTGCCATTAATACAGGTAACGAGTGGAGGACAGAGGAGCCTCTTAAAGAAGAAGTCTGAAGTCCTCTGTAGCTCAGCTGGTAGAGCACGGCGCTTGTAACGCCAAGGTAGTGGGTTCGATCCCCGGGACCACCCATACACAAAAATGTATGCACGCATGACTGTAAGTCGCTTTGGATAAAAGCGTCTGCTAAATGGCATATTATTATTATTTTATTATTATTAAGTTACAGGTCTGTGAGAGCCAGAAATCTTGCTTGTTTGTAGGTGACCAAATACTTATTTTCCACCATAATTTGCAAATAAATTCATTAAAAATCCTACAATGTGATTTTCTGGATTTTTTTTCCTCAATTTGTCTGTCATAGTTGATGTGTACCTATGATGAAAATTACAGGCCTCTCTCATCTTTTTAAGTGGGAGAACTTGCACAATTGGTGGCTGACTAAATACTTTTTTCCCCACTGTATAAATTAATGATATGTAGCCATTGATTCTTAAAGAATATAACTTAGAAATGCCTCATGAGCTTAGTTCAACTTTCGTACCCCACCAGAACCCCAAAAATAAGCTTGTTTTACTCCAATATTTGTAAACAAGTACATGTAAACAAACACTATATAGCCTCGAAACATAGTTGAAACTATCATTTTGATATCATGGATGGTAAGTCTTTGCATCCATAGCTCTGTCTAGGAATTTGAGAGTGGTTACATTTCTCCAGTCCCATCCCTCAGCTTTTTACCGAAACAGAGGCTGGGACAACACTTTGTTATTGTTTCTACTGATGAATGCCACTTTAAGAAATAATACTAATAATATATTATGGGCATTTTCAGAAATTACAATGCAAAAATTCAAAAAAGATATATGCGTAGCACCTTTAAGATATTTTTAGTTTTCTCTCCCTCATGAGGGGGGAGGATAATCAAAGTTCACAGAAGTAACAAGTAAAGGTAGACCAACCGATTAGTTATAGTGTTTTTATTAATAACAATTTGGTTCATGATTTATTAAGTGATTAAAAGGCGTCATTCCGTTAAATCGGTAACAGAATGACCAAAAAAAATCTGTAACAGAATGACTGCAACTGAATTTGCTACAATGGGAATTCATAGTAGTCACAAACCACAGTTGGGTCACCTGCTACTGTCCTCCCTTCCACTGGCTCATAACTGTTTTCTTTCTCTTTCTGTCGCGTGGCGGTCAAAGCAAGTGTGTTTAAACAGTCTGGACAACCCCTCCCTCTCTCTCCCTGTGTCTCTTCTCTCGCTCTCCAGATAATGTCGCTTCTCCTGGCTCTTACTGGCACCTACCCATGAGCCCCCTCTCTTTCCATTTACTGTAACCAGCCCTCTCACCCACTGAGCACCGACCGACACCGGATGTCCATGGATGTTGAAAAGTAGTTGAAATTTGGTCAGTCCAAATCTGAACCAATCATAGACGTCTGTTTCACAAGTTTGGACAGCACCGTACAGTACAGTACAGTAGAGCACAGTACATTAGAGTTAAGTACAGTACAGTACAGTAGAGCACACTAGAGTAGAGTACAGTATAATTTACTGTATTGTACTGTACTTTACTGTACTAAACTATACTCTTCTGTATGGTTTGTATAACTTTGCAATCAATGGTTTTTGTTCGGCATACTTTTGAAGTGAAAAATCAGTCTCAGCATCATTCTATTACAGTGGAATTGCCTATAACAAACATTTTCCTGGTAGTGTTGTACTGTACTATGTGGTACCCTAGAGTATAGGGTCCTTATGTCAAGCTTCCCCAATTCTTCCTTCTACCTTTCCCTTGATGACTGTCCAAAACTGGTCTCTGTCTCTGTCTCTGTCTCTGTCTCTGTCTCTGTCTCTGTCTCTGTCTCTGTCTGTCTGTCTGTTTGTGTGTGTGTCTCTCTCTCTCTCTCTCTTATATTAAATGGGTAAATAATAGTGAGGTTAAGTATGGGGAGGTTTGCTGACAGCTGACAGTTGAGGCCTGTGGGTGGTGTTAACTTTCTTATTAAGCACACACTAATTAAATAAAATAGGCTCTCTGCAAAGCCACTCATGAGGAAGCATTTTACATCTGCGTAAACCTCCTTCGCCTGGTTTCTCAGTCATAAGGGTAATGCAGTGAGCTCCAAAAGTATTTGGACAGTGACAATTTCTGTTTTGGCTCTGTTCTCCAGCACTTTGGAAATGATACAAAAGTATTGGGACAAATTCACTTATATGTGTATTAAAGTAGTATTAAAGCTTGTGACTACAGACTTGTTGGATGCATTTGTTTGTTTTGGTTGTGTTTCAGATTATTTTGTGCCCAATAGAAATGAACGGTAAATAATGTATTGTGTCATTTTGGAGTCACTTTTATTGTAAATAAGAATAGAATATGTTTCTAAACGCTTCTACATTAATGTGGATGCTACCATGATTACGGATAGTCCTGAATGAATCATGAATAATGATGGGTGAGAAAGTTACAGATGCACAAACAAAGAGCAAATGCATCCAACAAGTTTGTATAGTCATAAGCTTGATGTAATCATTGTGTGCTAGGAATATAAACTTTCGACTACTTTAATACACATACTGTATAAGTGAATTTGTCCCAATACTTTTGGTCCCCTAAAATTGGGGGACTATGTACAAAAAGTGCTGTAATTTCCAAACTGTTCACCCGATATGGATGAAAATACCCTCAAATCAAAGCTGACAGTCTGCACTTTAACCTCATAGTAATTTTCTCATAGTATCATTTCACATCCAAAGTTCTGGAGTACAGAGCCAAAACAACAACAAATGTGTCACTGTCCCAATACTTTTGGAGCTCACTGTATATCTTGTCAGGTAACAGGACTGTGTTTTTCTCTCATGTGAGCACACTCTCTCTCGCTGTCAGTGTTTGCAGGCTACCTGCGTCTTGAGAAGCACAGTACTGTTAGGGTTTGTTTGGTCAAGCTGGGTTGTATTTCATGAAGTCACCTTGCTAACATTAATAAACACTCATGTGGACTGAATGCCTATATACACTGAGTGTACAAAACATTATGAACACCTGTACTTTTCATGACATAGACCACGTGTCCAACTCATTCCACGAAGGGCCGAGTGTCTGCGGGTTTTCGTTCCTCCCTTATACTTGATTGATTAATTAAGGGCACTAATTAGTAAGGAACTCCCCTGACCTGTCTAGGGCTGAATTGAAAGGAAAAACCAAAAACCAGCAGACACTGGACCCTCCATGGAATGAGTTTGACACCCCTGACATAGACTGACCAGGTGAATCCAGGTGAAAGCTGTGATCCCCTATTGATGTCACTTGTTAAATCCACTTCAATCAGTGTAGATGAAGGGGAGGAGACAGGTTAAAGAAGGATTTTTAAGCCTTGAGACAATTGAGACATGGATTGAGTATGTGTGCCATTCAGAGGGTGAATGGGCAAGACAAAATATTTAAGTGCCTTTGAACGGGGTATGGTAGTAGGTGCCAGGCACACCGGTTTGTGTAAAGAACTGCAACGCTGCTGGGTTTTTCACGCTCAACAGTTTCCCGTGTGTATCAAGAAGGGTCCACCACCCAAAGGACATCCAGCCAACTTGACCCAACTGTGGGAAGCATTGGAGTCAACGTGGGCCAGCATCCCTGTGGAACGCTTTCGAAACCTTGTAGAGCTCATGCCCCGATGAATTGAGGCTGTTCTGAGGGCAACTCAATATTAGGATGGTGTTCTTAATGTTTTATACATTCAGTGTACGCTTATAGAGAAAGGTAGCTGAATATGGGTATGGTGAGTAGCAAGTCATTTATGGGACAAAAATATTTGACATGCCTCTTAGTCCCTTTTCTCATTAGATAAACTAATCTGAGTTGTTATTAAAAGCTAACACAGCAACAAACACTGTATTTATCAGAACCAATGAGGATGAAACGTTCTGTACAAGTGCCTCCAGCCATTGAAGCCCTCATACGGTTGAAAAATCCTGCCTAGTGTTTTATCAAATATTACTGCAGAAAATTATAAAAAATGTAGTGGTTGCAACACAGTTGACCTCTACCCAGTAATAATAGGATTTAGATTTTTGAGGTTTGTTGATGTGTATCTAATTCTGTTTGGCTTTGAGTTAGAGTTAGAGGTCTCCTGTGGATTTGAGGCTGCATAGTAAGTGAGAAAAACAAGCTGTGAATGCCAATAGAGAACACTCCTCGAGTTAAGAGAAAAACATTTGTCAATCTCTTTTGGAAAGGGGTAATGTACAAACGTTTTCCCATCGTTTTCTATAGCTTTGAGTGCTACATAATTGATCTCAATGCGATAAAATACGATATATTACTCTATTTGATTTCTCTTTTCCCAAAACCTTTCCACAGTTTCTGGAATGGTCACAATTCACACTGTTAATGTAGTCTACATGGTAGTTATCCTTTGCTCTGGTCTGTTTGTGACATCCTTAATTGGTTGCTGGAGGACCTCTTTAAAGATGCTAGCTAGCCTTTGTGCCGCCATTGTTTTACCCCTTTGCGACAAAGTGGTGTCCTCAACGTGAATATCAGAGAGGGTTGCCATAGTAATTAGCTGCCAGGCAATATTGTACGTCTTCCCGCCATGTTACTTAACAGAAAGGCCTGGTCTTTCTTAACCTCTAACAAACCTTGTACAAAGACAGGGAAAAGAGAAGTCCTTTGTGGCAAGCAGGTTTCTCTCAGGTTGTATGCCTTTTTGGATTCTAACTTGATTGAACATTTATTTATCATATGAAAGTACAGATATTATTTTGAAAGGTATTTAGAGAAACTGCTGTTTTCATCTGTCCTTAAAATGACAAGCATTGTTCATGAAATATTGATTTGCTCGCTAAAGCAACTGCTATATTCTTAGTCCCTCTTTAAGTGAGCAAAAAAGGAAAATAACACAAATCCCTTGTGTCTCTCTTCTCTTGTCTCCTTCACAGCTCTGATGCTCCCCTGACTGTGTGATGTGGCCACGGAGAAAGTAACCATGGCAGACTCCTTTCTCCCCATGCCCTGTGTGCCACAGAGGGCCAAGCCCCAGACCCTGCAACCTGGCATGGAAGACCAACCCTCCTCCAGCCCCAGCCCGGAGCCTGCCATCTCAACCTCAACCTCTACCCCCACCTCGCCCTCCCCATGCCCCCTCAGCCAGCTCCTGCTCCAGCAGCAGCCCGGGCCCCCGAGCTCGGCTGTGTTGGCCCTGCAGTCCAAGGTCAAGGCCCTGTCTGAGCGCAACAAGGCTGCAGGGAGGGAGGCTTTCAAGGCAGGCATGGATAAGAAGGCCTTTCCTGTGTCCTCTTCCCTATTCGGTCCTGTCCTGGTGAGCTGGGGCTCCAGTAGTAGCGATGACGATGTAGATTCCCAGGGTTCCACTCTCCACCCAGTGGTGCCAGACAGCCTGATGGAGGGGGCGGGGACGGGTGGGTTGGACTTCAGCCTGCTAGCGCTCCCACGTGGGCTGGGCGAGGGCTCCAGCCTGGAGAACCTGTCTGACGTTAGCGCCTACGCTAGTCCCCTGGAGGATAATGTTAGCGCCGCTAATGCGTCTAAACCCTGGGTCCCTCCCAAGGGGTTCTGGAAGGCCACCAGGCCTGAAACGCTACTGCTGAACGGAGACACGCCTCCGGCCCCAGACAGACCTTTGGCCGGGGCCCCTGGGGGCCAGCAGAGGAAAGCCAGGGGCCACGGCGGGGTGGGCAGGGAGCTGCTACGCCGTGACAGCCTGGAGGGTCTGAGGCGGTGTATGGGCGAGCTGGGGCCCCAGGGGCCAATGGGGGGCCTGTGGAGGGCTGACAGCCTGGAGAGTCTGTGCAGCAGTGGGAGTGCCATTTCTCTAGCAGAGAGAGTGGAGATGAATCGGGGCATCCTCAAGCAGATGCTGAACAAGAGCCAGGGACCAGAGCCAGGGAGCCTCAGCCCTGTGCTCTCTGGAGCTTCGGCACTCTGCTCTCTGGAGAGAGAGCAGAGGGCCGAGGAGGTGACCCAGTGCAATGGGAGAGGTACAGTAAAGAGCTAAAGATACTGTACCTGCATTCACCACCATACGCCACCCACTAGACCTAAAACCATGGATTATTTTAGCGAATGTGTGTGCGGTGGCACAGCTCGGGGTTGAGGTGATAACAGTAGTAAAATCACAGTGAGTAGACCCCTTAATCCTCAGTGATGTAAAGGGATTTACCTGAGACGGACCTGATCTATTAGAGTAGAGAGTACATTTCCCCAACACTCAGTTCACATTCAACACATAGGAATGAATGTGAAGTAGGTAGCTCATGGTCAAAGTGTGTGACGAGCTGAAAGTCAACATAATGTGATAAAGTAAAAAAATTACAACAGAAAGTAGAGATAAAACATCTTGAGAGGAAAGGGTGGGAGAGAGGGAGGGAGGTAATAGGCTATTTCTGACTGTTGACCAGATGTTTAATGAATGTAATACCTGTCTAATTGCAACTGTCTCACAAACAGAAGTTGTCTTCCGCCTGTGGGTTGCTCTGTCCCGCACTCTTATGGCCTCAAATATCCCCAATGCTAAATGAATCATGCTTTGTATAGACAAAGGGAAATGTAAACAAATAGTTAAACTTAATACGGTTCTTCCATATTTCTTGATAATTATTTTGTTGTTGTTGTAATTTCCAGAGAAATAAGGAAATCAACGCATTTCAATACTGGAGGGAAATTCTACTTAAGTCTGCCTGGTTACAGTGTTTATTTGTGTCCCTATAGGTTTCATTGCCCTGAATGACAGTGACTGGGATTCAGGCATCTCCCTCCAAGACAGCGAGCACAGCCAAAGGTACAGTAGAACCTCCTGTAGAGCCACTGGGTATGCAGCCTTTTGCTCCAGCCCTGCTCTAAAACACCTGATTATTGTGTTAGAGTAAGGCTGGAGCAAAACATGCACACCCAGCGGCTCTCCAGTGGCCAAGGGAGGGTTTACCACTTATGCCTTTACACTATAGCTTAAATATGAATGTATCATAAACAAATGTAATTTGGGTTCCCAAACCCCCAACCTAAATACTTTCACTCTGATACATCTAGAATATACAGCAGATGTTTTCACGACACTACCAACACCTATGACTCTACTACTTTGCTCTTGTATCTCTCCATGTTAGAGCCCCAAGCTGCAATGAGTGACATGGACACAGTGTTTATAACAGCTGTTACTAAAAGCCCCACCCTCATCACCAGAGACGATTATGATTATATCTTTCACTTCTCTGTCCCCAATCACAGTCTCAATGTAAGAGAAAGGCGTTTCGGTGAAGCACCTAGTATTTGAAACACACTCATTCATTTGTTCTCCCATTGAGTGCCTGTTAAGCAGGTGTTGTGGTGAAACTGAATGGGCAGCTGTGTGGTTAAAGCTCTGAGCACTGTGTGTAATTGTGTTTTTGGTGTTGGGGAAATGTTCACAAGTCTGTAACCCCATTCACACATAGATATACAGGCAAAGGGACTGCTTCAGTCACTCATTCCTACATTCACAAATACACACACATAAACACAAGCACTGGCAAACAAGATAAAAGCTTATGGAAAGATACACTCACACACTCACACACACACAAAAGCTCATTGACACACACACACCCCTTGTCAGCCTAATTAGTAGTGACTGCCTGCTCGGCCTAATCCCCCACTCTATGAGCGTCTCTCCCGCACAGGCGCTGACGTGTGCCTCCCTACCATCTCTCCCCCTCCCCCTAACCCCCCTGCCTGTGTGTGTGACGTGTGTGTGCGGCCGACAGGGCCTTTGTGTCCAGCGAGGACCTGCCGCTGAGTCCACGCCATGAGCAGGCCAAGCGGCTCCTGGAGAGAGCCCGCATGAAGGCCCGGTCCTATCCACTCAAGGCCGACCACACCATCCTACCCGTCCAGAGGGACAACCCGTAAGTCTGCTGCTCCGCAAGTGGGTGTGTTTATGTGTGTGTGGGTTTGAGGGTCGTCGGTGTGTGTGTGTCTGTTTACCAGCCGAGCTTAGCTGTAGCAGCCACCTGTACCATCATAACCAACCAAACGAGACCAAACAAGAAATGTTTTTTCCTCATCTTTTCACTATTTTCTCTATTTTCTTCCCTTCTGTTTCATGGGGCCCAGCAGGGCCTGTAAATCTCTGTAGGCTTTTGTGCCGGAGTGACCGTACGGCTGTTTTGTGTTTGGCTGGTTAAAGTGTGCTGCGGCTCTCTCGCGGTCTGTTTACTGACAGTGTTCAGAATAGCTAGCTGCAACAGTGGTCTCTTGTTGTGCTCGTTTCACTGTAATGATATGACACATATTGGATTTACTGCTTTAAATGTAGCATTGCTCATGCATTTTCTATTTACAGTGCCCTCTATTCATTTTTAAATGGCGATATTTCACATATCTATTATGGGTCACACTTTACAGTAAGTTAAAAAGATTCTACAGTATGTAGTACAATGTATGTAATATTTACATTTAACTAACTAGTAACTACACAATAACTATACAGTATGTAGCTGCAGTTTCCATGTACAGCTGAGTAAATAGTTATAGCAAAAGTAGTTATAGGGCATGTGTATGTCCTTAGCCAACTTAATGTAAAGCGTTGGCCTATATCTCAAATAGTATTATTCAGGAAAACTATAGTAGTAATTATGGTGGTGTTACAGTTCTAATAGTGGTAGCAATAGTAGTTGTAGTGGTTGTGGTAAACATCAATATGTAAATACACACTTTTCTATTGCTCTAATTACAAGGCTTTTTAATTAAGTGTACAATAATAATAATAATAATGGTTTAGGGCAGGCGTGGGCAGATTCAGCCGTGGGCTGATTTTTTTGGTTGCTGAGAAGATGGTCGGGGATCCGGAACATAGTTATAAATAATTTGTATACTGCAAATTGACCGCATGAAGCCCAAACATATATAGTATTTGACAAAAACATAATCATTTCAAGCCTTGATTACATTGGGATACGATCACTTACAGTATGCCCCTCTATTTATGCATGGGAACAGATTGGTAACAGATTTCCTAAATTCAAATCATTTTCAGTTGATTTGCTGGTGATTTTACAGTATTTTATGTCCAACAAAATTTGGCCCATGGGCCACCTATTGGGGAACCCTGGTTTAGGGCATTGGGTTATTTTGGTTGCTATGACAGGGGCTCTCTCTCTCGCGCTCTCTCTCTATTTCCACAATATGCGTTACGCAATCCAGCTGGAATTATACACCTCCCCAATCTCAATCCTAATATCATGGTCCGAGAGCAGTGATTACTGATTACCTCAGCACATTCACTCTGACCAAGGCAGGATGTTCCTTCATACAGCTGTCAATCACCAGACATCGTCAACATTCGCTCCAGATTAGAATGATTGGATGGGACATTTTGGATACTGACCAATCACTAGGTGATATGACAGAAATGATGTAATAATGGCCCCTCAATGACAACCAACTATTATCAAAATCCTTCCAAATGAAAGCGATATGGATTGACGTGATTGAGGTGACATGAGTTGTCTTGTTTATTCATTGGATAAGAACAATTACTTTTGTATTTTCTGTGTTGGGTCTGATTTAATTTGGAAATATCTCTGGTTTGGAGGGAGCTTCCTAGTTGTGATTTGACGCTTGATAAGACTGATTCCCCCTAATGCTTCGCTACACATCTTCCAGCTGTTACCCTCAGCCCCCTCACACTCCCACATGCACGCACACACCCACAAACACACACACACACACACACCAACCACACAATCCCAGGGGTAAAAAAGTACATACAAGGAAAGCACAGTACAATACTCCCCTCTTCTCTAGGGAGCTAGCTTAGCCAGCCATGCAGTATTGTGTTCCCCACCATCCAACAGTGTGGGCTCACAACTGTCTCTCACCCATTTCTTACAGTTTCAGTTCAGTCAATCAGTCAATCACTTTATTTCCATGGACATTTTTACAAATGCCTTTCTCATTTACATTTATAGATGAAGTTGTAGCGTGCATAAATAAACTCTCTCTTGGATATGACTCAAGATAGCTGTCCATTATTGTGGTAGTAGAGGCTAGATGATTGGATACAGACAGAGAGGACGTCCATACTGGGGATGACCTTCCCCTTATCGAGAGTTGAGCATGTTGGGAATGTAGCGGCTGGGACAGACAGGGGCCAGAACATAGATAAGAATCCCACAGGCATCCAACCAATCCCCTGTGTTAGGAGGAAAAATGCTGAACGTTTCTTTATGGGGTTTCCGTCTTTTTTCTGGTTAGGGTTTGTGTGTGTGTTTGTGTGTGTGTTACCTTATATACATGGTCATGGGTGCCCGTGTGTGTTTGTGTGTCCCTCTGGATGTGTGTGTTCTGACGTGTGTGCATCCATCCATAGGGAGCAGCTGTCCACGGCTGGAGCTTCCTTGCACCGGGCTCCGCTGGCGGGGAAGGGCGGCCAGTCGGTGTCGTCAGCAACGGTTCCTGCGGTTACCTCGTTGTCGGGGAACCTCAGTGACTCCTCCAGCAGCGACTCGGCCTGTGGCCCCCGCCGACGTCCTGGCCAATCACCGACGCGGGTCCGCTTCGAGGACGAATCGGAGAAAGACGCGGAGGTGCGCTACTTGGAGAGGCTCCGTCAGAGGAGGAGGGCGGGTGAGAGGGCCCAGGGTCTGCTTATATCCAAGCCCAACCTCTCTTCCTATGTCAACGGGCGGAGGGACACTGATCCAGGAACTGGAATAGTGATCGAGCGAGGGCACAAGAAGGCCCACAGGGCACAGGAGGGCCACTTAAACGGTGGCAGCCATTTCAAATCCGTGGTGGCACACGAGGAGGCGCTTAACAGGCAGTGCAACTCGTGCGGGACGTTCCTGGAAGGAGGGGTCCAGAACCCGAACCTCCATCCAAACTTTTCACCCCTGAACCTGAACCTCCATCCGAACCCTTCACCCCCAGTAGGGCAGAGCCATCCGGTGAACAGAGAGGGGGAGGAGAAGGTGCTGATGCCTTGCTGGGTGGCTCCCAGCAAGCCCAGCCGGACAGTTCGTACCGAGCTGATCAAGGAGACATACATTGGTAAGGTAACCCCTGGCGATGTGGCAGATAGCGAAGGGACGGGCCACGGCTCGGCGGGAGAGACGGACAGCAGCAGTGGCGGTGGAGGTGGTGGGAGTGTTCGAGTGTCAACAATGAAGGTGAAGAGGAGGAGTAGGAGAGGTGAGCTTTTGGGCACCAATGGCCAAGGAGCACCCATCAAGGTGCCACCAACTCCACCAGCACCCAGGCCCAATGGTATTGTGGTGCCGCCCAACCCGTACCCCATTGAGCAACCAGTATCAAAGATGGTGGGTTTGCCCACTCACTCCCCTGCACCCCCAGATGATCCCACAAACAGTCCCCCGTGCATCAAGAGCTCCCCCTTTCCCCCTTCCCCAACGCCCATCAAATCAGCTCTGAAATCAGGACCCAAGAGCCGGCCCAATGGCCAGCGAATGGTCAAACTCATGCCTTCACCACAGTACCGCCTTTTGCCCCAGAACTCCCTGGAGGACCAAGGGAGAGGGGCTGCGCCCAGCCCCCAGAACGAGCACTCTGTCGGGGGGAACTTCGTGGAGTATGGTTCCTCTTTGGGGCTGACTTCCAGCACCGACACGATGATGCCCTGTATCAGGCCTGCTTCCCTGCTGAAGACCTCCCCATTGCTAGCTAGGACAGCAGTAGAGAAGATGGGGGACCCTGCAGCACCAGGTCAGCTTCAAATACACACACACACACACACACACACAGATGCACACACACACACACACACAACACACACACACACACACCTAACACTAATTCTACCCTTAACCCTAAATCCCCTTGAAATAGCATTTAACCTTGTGGGGACTAACAAAATGTTTTTTTCTTTACTATTCTTGTGGGGACTTCTGGTCCCCACAAGTATAGTTAAACACGTCCACTGCAATGTACAAACACACACACACACACACACACACACACACACTGTAAGACACTATAAAGTAGAGAGCCCTACACTCCCACACATTTACATTTACATTTGAGTCATTTAGCAGACGCTCTTATCCAGAGCAACTTACAGTTAGTGAGTGCATACATTTTTTATACTGGCCCCCCGTGGGAATCGAAACCACAACCCTGGCGTTGCAAGCGCCATGCTCTACCAACTGAGCTACAGGAGGCCCTAGTGTGTTTCTAGACCGGAAACCTGGGGCCCAGGTCCCACACACACACACACACACACACACCCTAACTTGTGTGCTGTGGGACCTGGGCCCCAGGTTTCCAGTCTAGAAACACACTTTCCACTGTGATCAGAGGTATTGCAATTTAACCAAAGTGCGGCCCCATAGAGAAGTTCAATAAAAAAATTCCTCATATTACACTTTAGTCATCACCTTTGTGCACAAAACACCATTGAATTATTACATTTTTTATTTGATTTATTTTCCACCACTCACATTCGAAGATATTAACATTTTATGTTCATGCTCTGATGCCATGAGTCCAGCTGGCCAGGGGAAGTGCTGGTTGGTTTATTTAGCTGTCCACGTGCATGGCACGCTCTGGCAGAGTTCCCGGAGCATGTTCGCGCGATACTACTGAGTGCTAGTGCACAGGCGTAGTAATCCCAGTAAAACCAGATATAGAAAGATGGCAGCAACCACAAAACAGCGTATGCGAACTTGAGTAGATTACGTTGAAAACAATGGGCGTCCATCTTGGACGCTGTCTCTAGTTAAATTACAAATAATAATATTTATTGCATTTAGCAGACGCCTTTATATCAAGCAATTTACAGTCATGCGTGCATACATTTTACGTATGGGTGGTCCCGGGAATCGAACCAACAACTCTGGCGGTGCAAGCACCACGCTCTACCAACTGAGTCATACAGGCATAGTTCATATATACCTCAGTGTGCGGATTGGTGAGAAAGACATCAAGTGTTCTACTTTTCACAGCTCATGTGAATGGCAGAAGTCAAAGGTGACAGCACAATCTACATATCAATGGGTGGCGATGGTAAATGCCTTGTCGAGAGCAAAGGAGGTGAATTCCAATGCAGTGGATTTATTCACTACTATCAGACAACCTTTAAGAACAGGATAAAAATGGGATCCACGAGTTCATCTTACCCTGGGGAAGTAGATAAAGGGCCTCATTGCCAAAATCCCAAAGTATCCCTTTAAAGGTGATGCCTTAAAAATAAAGATGAGATGTTATGTTACATTTTAGTCATTTAGCAGACGCTCTTATCCAGAGCGACTTACAGTTAGTGAATACATCTTTTTTTTATACTGGCCCCCCGTGGGAATCGAACCCACAACCCTGGCGTTGCAAACGCCATGCTCTATCAACTGAGCTACATCCCTGCCGGCCATTCCCTCCCCTACCCTGGACGACGCTGGGCCAATTGTGCGCTGCCCATCAGTCTTCCGGTCGCGGCCGGCTGCGACAGAGCCTGGATTTGAACCAGGATCTCTAGTGGCACAGTTAGCACTGCGATGCAGTGCCTTAGACCACTGCGCCACTCAGGAGACGAGTGAGTTACAAACAGAGTTAGGTGGACTACCTGAATTGTAACTGAATACTAACACTGGACTCATTGACTAAAATAGTCTATACAGTATTTAGTGCGGGCATCTCACAGAGGAAAAATATACTTAAAAAAATATACAATTTAATATGTTTTCAGTCTTACTCTAGTTCCCTAGTGACCATTGGCAAATGCACGGCTTCATGGGTAATTAAGTCCATGCTGCTTGTGTCAGTGAGGTGTCAGCTCTTGGGCTGTGAAGGGGTGTGTGTGTGTGCGTCCATACGTGTGTGTGGGTTTCCATACGTGCATCTGTGCGTGTGTACATATGCCTCTGTGTGTGTGTGTGTGCATTTGCTTGTGTGAGTGCATGCATGCGTGTGTATCTATGTGCGTGTGTGTTTGTGTGCTTAACCCAGGTCCCAGCAGGGATTTTGCAGTCAGCACATACACACATCCCCCAGCCCTGTAATCCCACCGAGGCCTGTTCGCCCCGTTTCCACCAGCTGGATGATTGGATATGTGAAGCATCTGATTGTTCCCACTGTGGTCTCTGTCTCTCTCTCTCTCTCCCTGTCTCTGTCTATTTCTCTGTTTATGTCTCTCTCTTTGTCTCTGTATCTCTCTGACGCTTTCTCCCCTCTTGTCTCTCATTCTCTCTGTCTCTATGCATGAGAAATACTCAACATTCCCCCTAAAATATATGTAGCTAGAAATTCACGTTTCACAAACAATATTCTACAAAAATGTATCATACCACATGCAAATGTCTCAGTCTAACAAGGCTCTAACTCAGGGGTGTCAAACTCATTTTGACCCATGGGCCGCATTCGGTCTTCCTCGAGGTCCGGAGGGCTGCACTTAAAATTCGTTATATTTCCTCGCCGTCAAAATCTGCTAAAAATAGTCCTCTATCCATCGCTTTTGGAATTTCCGATGCTCCCTGACTGTCAGCTTTCGTTTCGATGACTGTAAGCAAATGACAGAGTGAAAAGACTATAAATGTACCCTGAGTATACCAAACATTAGGAACACCCTCCCTTTTGCCCTCAGAACAGCCTCAACTCGTCAGGGCATGGACTACAAGGTGTCGAAAGCATTCCACAAGGATGCTGGCCCATGTTTTTTTTTTTTTTACCTTTATTTAACTAGGCAAGTCAGTTAAGATCACATTCTTATTTACAATGATGGCCTACCCTGGCCAAACCTGGACGACACTAGGCCTATGGGACTCCCAATCACGGCTGGATTGATATGCAGCCTGGAATCAAACCAGGGTCTGTAGTGATGCCTCTAGCACTGAGATGCAGTGACTTAGAGCGCTGCGCCACTTCAATGCTTCCCACATTTTTGTCAAGTTGGCTGGATGTCCTTTGGGTGCTGGACCATTCTTGATACACAAGGGAAACTTTTAAGCGTGAAAAACCCAGCAGCGTTGCAGTTCTTGACACAAACCGGTGCACCTGGCACCTACTACCATACCCCGTTCAAAGGCACTTAAATATTTTGCATTGTCCATTCACCCTCTGAATGGCACACATACACAATCCATGTCTCAATTGTCTCATGGCTATAAAATAAATCCTTCTTTAACCTGTCTCCTCCCCTTCATCTATACTGATTGAAGTGGATTTAACAAGTGACATCAATAAGGGATCATAGCTTTCACCTGGATTCAGTCTGTCATGGAAAGAGCAGGTGTTCTTAATGTTTTGTATACTCATTGTAGGTCCATTACCATTTCTACACAGTTTCAATTTGACTTTGCCATTTCAATGTTGATTAAGATTGTTTTCCCCCTGAAAAAAAGTATACATTAATTGTTTTTACTCAAACCACCTGCTAGACGTATGTTTGACATCCCTGCTCTAACTCATTCTTGCTTTTCATCAAAAACAAGATGAAAGTTACAGATTCTTCACCTTGTATACCACAGCAGGTTGGTGGCAACTTAATTGGGGAGAATGGGCTTGTGGTAATGGCTGGAGCGGAATTAATGGAATGGTATCAAGTACATCAAACACATGGTTTCCATGTGTCTGATGTCATTCCATTTGCGCCGTTCCAGCCATTATTATGAGCCGTTCTCCCCTCAGCAGCCTCCACTGTTGTAAACATCCCTCTCTCTTTCCTCTCTCCTCTAGAAGTGGAGCAGCATCATCCAGGGATGGGAGAGCTCTGTCTGGAAGGAACCAGCATCATTACCCCGCCCCCGTACCGCTCTGAGGGTGACGTACGGGTCAGGGGACCAATGAGAGCAGAGCATCAAAGGGAGGATTGCCCTAGTCCAACTCAGTGAGTAGTGGTACCTCTCTCCACCACACTCTTATGCTTAATTCTAAACTGACCCGAAGCCTGTATGATTAGGTTCTTCATGTAGATCGTAAAGGATTACCTTGCCCTCTGATAGGCTTGGTGGAATCCTTTGAGCATTATTTCTTACATCTTTAGTTATTTCAGATCAAGGTTAAATCGAAAGTTAGGAGCTGGGCTAGAACAAGTCTCGCAGCTGAGTCACTAATATCACTGTTTGTATATGGCAGAATTTGGCATGAAAGCACTTCAGGCCTGCTCATCACTGTACCTTGATTAGTTGAATTACTGTTGGAGTGTTAGGCTGGAACAAAGCACACTTTTCAGAGTTGCCAACACCTGCCCTAGGTGGAGGTTTGACCCAAAATGAACATCTGTCCCCCTCCCTAATACCTTTCCGAGAGAGATGTTGAAGGAAGCTAGATTTAGATTCCCATGTTATGTTCTATCATCTCATTTGGAGCTCTGCCTGCCCGCCCGCCTGCCCGCCTGCCTGCCAGCCTTAGCCCATAGCCATTATTGGTCTTCCACAGACTGTGTTAGCGTTTTTATAGAAACTAGGTCAAACAAGGTGGTTTTTAGAGTGGTGGTGCAGACATAAATAGAGCAGTGCCTCAGTTGAAGCATTTTTAACTCAACACTGACCTCTTCTGACCAAATAGTAGTAAGTGAATGGTACACATTGCTCAATAAGGGCTCCTGTGTCAGAGGTGTTAGAATGAGTTATTTCCATTTTCATGAATGATTTGAATTGGACAGAATTTCTAAAAGGTTTTTCCAATCAAATTAAATTAAGTATTTATATTGGAAATGTATAATGGAAATGAACCAAGCTTTGACCTGACCAGAGTGGTTTCATGATGTCCAGGCTGCACCTTTTTTTGTTTACGGAGTGGCTGCGGGTGTGAATTTTCTGGAACCCTCTTGCCAATAGCTAAAGGGCCGAAGGTTCTGCGCATGTGTGAGATTCTCTACTTTACCGACAGTCTCTGCTCTACTCGTTCGGCTGCCCAGAGAACAGGCTACAGTATTTTGGCGAATTTAGGTGATGAATGGAGAATGGTGCTCGTTTAATAAAGCTAGATCAAAGCTGAATCATTGTCTGCGAGATCACATAATGACAGTATTCTACATAACGGAACCGAATATAATAGCATAGTATAACATTACTGTAAAACAAAAAACACCACCTAATTTCTTATGAGATTTTAGGATGATTGTGCGAATGGTCACGTTTTTCTCTCGTGCGGCCACAATTTAACAGCGTGTGCCACTTGGCAAAATATGAATTGTATTTATTTAAACAAAACACTGGTATGCTACAGTATGTTAACACCCTCTGCCTAAAATGCACTCACTGTACATAATTCAAAACAACACTGTACATAACTAAGAAGATCTAAATGCATATTCCCATGAAACTGATTGAGATCAAATGGTTGGCATGCAGATGCTGCATTGACATTTCACCGGTAAAAGTTGAAGAATTCACTGTGCGAATTGAGAATTGGCTTTCACGATTGCCAGTGAGAAATGTGAAGTGAGGGTGACCACAAAAATGTATGCGTAAAGTAGAGGTAAAGAAATGGGAATGGGATATGGATCTTTAGCTCCAGGGAAGAGGGTTCCAGGGGGGCGTGGCGGAACGGGGTGGTTACCTTCGGATCCATAGCATCTGCCTTTTGTTTATTGTGGTGTTGCTCATGTCTCTCTCTCTCTCTTCTCAGGAGGGTAAGGGCAGAGACAGAGCAGCGGGAAGGCAGGTCCAAGCTCTCTCTGCATCGTTTCTTCTCCGCCATCGGCCTAAATGGAGTTGGGAAGCTGGTTAAAGGGCGCTCCAGTAGCATGGAGCAGCTTAGCCTCCAGCCCCGTGGCGTCCCCCCAGCCTCTCCTGGCCCCACCTCCACCCCCGGCACTCCCAAGTGCCCAGACCCCAGCCAGCTGAGGAAAGCCCCCTCGCTCCAATCCCTACGCATGGTGAGAGAAGACCTTCCTTTGTCATGTCAAACTTATCTTTTGAATTATAGGGAATTCTATGGATTTTAACCTTGCTTGTAGTCTGAGAGAGTGCCACTTTATGTCTGTCAAACTCTATGTTTAGTCTATAAGGATATTGAGAGTTCAGTTGATTGGAACATGATGAATAGAAAAGTGTGTAATAGAAATATAACTGTACATGATTTCACACATAACTATGCTATAAAGTGTATATTTGGTAACCTTACGCTTTTAAAAAGAATCAAAATGCACCAATATTGTGGAAGCTGACAGGGTTACTGTCATGTTCATTTCTCACCACCAGGGGTCATCCTTTATGCAGCTGAGGAAATCGTCATCAGTCCAGAATTTACAGTCGTCAAAGAAGAGAGATCGCTCCAGTGCATACACACCTGGAGACCAACCCGGCAGCCCTGCTCTCAGGTACAACATAAACAGACATGCACACACACAACATTAGAACTATGGCATCAGCAACATAAAAATAGGCAACTGTTGCAGTAATGTCAGGTCATCTAACATCCAACTATCTGTCACGGTTTAAAGCTTGCACATTGATCTTTGGTAAAGTTGCACCTCATGTCATAATATTATGAATGAAGTCAACGTCGATCCTTCCTGATAGGAGATTACAATGCTGGCATGTGCTCTCAAGGCTCCATTGATATCATATCTCTAGTATGCATGGACGGCTGCCGTGTGTGTTGTGCAACCGAATAGTTTCCATTTACTGGGTCTGAGGGGATGTCCGGACTGGAGAGATAAAAATAGAGTGAATGTGGTGGTGCTGCCAAAAAAAGACATGGAATCCAGAAGACGATCGCAACATCACATCATGATGGACTTGGAAAGGTGGCTGGGAGCAGTGGTGAAATTGAACACGGACTGTTTGGGTGATGTCGATGACACTGCCTGTGTGTGTGTGTGTGTGTGTGTGTGTAAGAGTGTGTGTGTGTGTGTGTGCGCGCATGTCTGTCAAGCGTGTGTTTCTGTGTGTGTACGTCTACATGAGCGTGCCAACAGCTGATACACTAGAGACCAGAGACGAGGACATTCCAGCCTCAGCCTTGTGCTTAAATAGCCTTCCTCGAGAGGCAGTCAGAAACCTGATAGGCTAGGAACATAACAAAGCCGTGCTATATATGGACCGCGCTACGTGGCTCTCTGGGAAGGGGGCTTGGAGAGGGGGTTCTGCCATAGAGACCTTAATGTAGGGAAGCAGACCATCTCCATTCCCCCCTCCCCATGCAATGACTTCATTATTTACATTATCTATGGGAGCATAGATTGTAATGTGCATTCTCCAAACACTGCATGGCTGCATCTGAGCCTGTGTCAAAGATTGAAATGTTTGCATTTTGTGGTATGGAATTCATATTTCTTCCATGCTACAAATGGTGCCCCATATGTGTCACCTCAATGCTGCTGTCCTGTCTCTCCAGTAGGGGATTTCAGAGGGCTCTGAGTGTGGAGGATGTGGGCTGCCCTAGCGGGGTGCGCTCGGTGGGGAGGGTGGCCCAAGCCTTCCCTGACGGTACCCTCCTGCTGGAACTTAGCAGACCCCCCAACGGACCATTCGGCTTCCTCATCTCCCGGGGCAAAGGACGACCAGACTCGGGTACATAAGAACAGGAGAGCCTGGATCTGCCTAGCCTGCCCTCAGACTTGTTTGTGCTGTTACCAACTCCTATAGTCAATGTCTCGCCATTGGTCTGGACCAGGCTAGGCTATGAACAGAAACAGATTTGGTACCAGGCTAGGATTTGCCCTGTTGTTTTGGTTGTCTTTTCTAATGTGGTGTTCTGTAATGATGTACTGTTTATTAGAATGTCCCCCTTCTGTGTGCTTGAGGTGTGTGTGTTTCGTCATGTTCTTACTTCTCTCCTGTAATGCAGTTGGATGTGTGTTTAGTATTGTATTCCTTTCCTGTGTGTGTGTTTAGTAATGTATGTGCCATGTAGGTGTGTGTGTGTTAGGTAATGTTTTCCTCTCCTGTGTCCTAAGGCTGTGTTTTATATTAGTAATGTGTGTGTGCTCCTCCCCTATGTCCTACAGGTGTAAATGTGTGTAACCAGTAAGGTGAATGTGTTTGTAGTGATACTCCTCTCCTGTGGTGGCAGGCAGCTTAGTGGTTAAGAGCGTTGTGCCAGTAACTGAAAGGTCGCTGGTTCTAATCCCCGAGCCAACTAGGTGAAAAATCTGTCGATGTGCCCTTGAGCAAGGCACTTAACCCTAATTGCTCCTGTAAGTCACTCTGGATAAGAGCGTCTGCTAAATGACGTAAATGTAATGGTATCAGTAGAATGCCCCTGTAATATTGCCTGTCGGTGTGTTTTAAAGAAGGTGTGCATGTGTGTGCCCTTACCAGTAACATGCTCCTGTACTTTGTCCTGTCTGTCCTGTAGGTGTGTACGTGGAGGAGATGGGCGACAGCAGCACAGAAAAGCTGTACGCGGGGCTGCTGGGAGTGGGAGACGAGCTGCTAGAGGTGAACGGTGAGAAGGTGTCTGGCCTCAGTTTGGACCTGGTGACATGTCTAATGACCCAGGACAACATAGCCTCCATCCGCGTGCTCCGACACAGGAGGCTCCCCCCTCCTCGCTAGGCAACCTGAGGACCGCCGGTTACAGTGGAGACGCCAGGGTTGCATCATGGCAACCACAGACGCCATGGCAACCATCGATGCCACAGCAACCACAAACCCCATGGAAACCTGGGGTGTTGGGGGTATGACAGAGGGACAGTGTGTGTGATCGGCTTTATGACTGTGGCTATTTCTATGCCCGCTTGCTTTGACAGTAGTAATAATGTCCACTCTCAAAATAGAGCGGTATTCTTCTGAAGACACGTCATGATGTTTGACACGATTGGCTCACCTTTCTATATGGTTCACATGGAGTTGCTATACGAGCAGTAGCGGTCTCATATTTTCTCATGTCCTGTTATGCTCTTTGGCGTCAGGTGCTCCTTACTTGACCTCTTTTTAAAACACAGCAGTACAAACTTTTTTTTATCATTACAGGTAATGCACAAAGCTTTCAGCAGCTCACACATCAATAATACAGTCTGGTAGGAGATTATCTGTTAAATACCTCATAAAAATCTCCTCCAGTAGTATTCCATGCATCTTTATGCAATTAAATCATATATTTGTATTGTGGTTATTGGTTTAGTCAGAAACCAGACCTGGATTTGTGTGGGTTAGCAAGAGGAGACATGAAGCATCTCAAAAGTGATACCATTGAAACAAACCTAACAGTTGGCAGTCTCTTCGAGTCAAAGATGCTAATTCTAACCGAAAAAGAAGACAGAGTTTTTCTGTCTTGGACTAGTAATAAACATAGTCTTGGATATGAACTGAAGCACTATGGGGATGAAGTACTCTGGATAGCACAGAGTAGATTAAGTGTTACAAGAAATGAAGGAGTCGATGTCTTGAGTTCTGAAGTCTGATTAAGAATAAGTATAATTTCTCTATAGTCTTTTCCAATGATGTGTCCTGTTTAATGCAATAGCTACAAGGAACTAGCCCAGGTGCCAGTCTAGTTGTGCTTTAACCAGCTTGTCTTTGACAATGTTTGTGTTGTTGAATGCAGAAAAAGTCAGGCACCCAGGCTAAAAAGGTACGACTTACTCCAAAGAATGGGATGATAATAAGGTGTCACAACTAACTACATTTTGTCAATTGTCACAGTAATAACGAACTTGAAAATGACAGCGTTTCAAAACCCAACACGCATAGCCTCAAACCCTTCCATTTTGTTTGTCTGTCTTCCTCAGTCCTAGTGGCTCAACAACACTATATCCATGCCATCTTGATTGTACCGAAGGATCCTCCACTTCCCTCTCTGCTTGTGTCCGTTTGCCAAACAAAGTAGAATCAATATTTGTTTACATTTTACCATATAAATGTGCAGTACCCAAATAGGATTAAGTTCCCCTATCAATCAGAAAGGTACTCACGGTTGTGACTGAAAAACATCCCCTTTTATCAGTAGCCTGGTCCCAGATCTATTTATACTGTCACACCTGATCTGGGACCAGGCTATCTTATCATCAGTCCTTTATTAGGTCATTCCTGGTTGGTTTACAGACACCCTGATGTTGTCAGTCTGGGTTCTGAATTTAGGATTTGTCTGTCAACGGGCAAAGTCCTTCCAATGCTGCTGATTGTTTTTTGTTAATGTCATTTACAAGAATGCATAACTGCCAAAGTGTTAGGTTGATTGTCTAAAGGAAGACATTGTAAAAGCATAAGGTCAAACCATTGGGTTGATGATAAGAAGTCAGATAGACCCATTCATTTCAACAGCAAATGGTTCTACAGATCATTACATGCGTGTGACTGTGACGATAGGAAAGTATCGACATTTGAAGAGTCATTCCACATCATTCATCAGTATTAAAGTGTGCAAAGAACAGAGACTTTTCACTGTCATTCAATATATGTATTTTCTTATTTATTTATATCTATGGTCCAAATAAAAGAATGTGTACTACCCATGTTCTTTCACGCCTTGAATCAGAACATACAATTGCTTCTCATTTAATATTGCCCTATCCATTATTCAAATTTCATACAATCTGATATATCAGATCGACGCAAATTATATCAGTTTCAGTTCAAGAACAAGCAGCATCTTCACAGCATCTACAAACCTCATGACTGCATAGATTTCTCAATGGAGTCGTCTTTCACCGCTTGAGTCAATGGCCTCTTTGCCTTTTAGAAAGAGAGATGAAAGAGGGATGAAGAGGGAAGAGGAGACAGGTGTGTAGAGTAGCCAGGGCCTCACGTGGTCTGGAGAAAGTGGGGAGAGGTCAATACCATGCCCCCAACATCCCTCTGATAACATGGAGTTAGTATTTACATTTTAGTCATTTAGCAGACGCTCTTATCCAGAGCGACTTACAGTTAGTGAATGCATACATGTATTTATTATTATTAAAATACTGGGAAACGAACCCACATCCCTGCCGGCCAAACCCTCCCCTACCTTGGATGACGCTGGACCAATTGTGCGCCGCCCATGGGTCTCCCGGTCGCGGCCGGCTGCGACAGAGCCTGGATCTCTAGTGGCACAGCTAGCACTGCGATGCAGTGCCTTAGACCACTGCGCAACTCTCCCGGAGAAATGTTCTCTGGTCTGATGAAACAAAAATAGAACTGTTTGGCCATAATGACCATCGTTATGTTTGGAGGAAAAAGGGGGTTGCTTGCAAGCTGAAGAACACCATCCCAACCGTGAAGCACAGGGGTGGCAGCATCATGCTGTGGGGGTGCTTTGCTGCAGGAGGGACTGGTGCACTTCACAAAACAGATGGCATCATGAGGAAGGAAGATTATGTGGATATATTGAAGCAACATCTCAAGACATCAGTCAGGAAGTTAAAGCTTGGTCGCAAATGGGTCTTCCAAATGGACAATGACCCCAAGCATACTTCTAAAGTTGTGGCAAAATGGCTTAAGGACAACAAAGTCAAGGTATTGGAGTGGCCATCACAAAGCCCTGACCTCAATCCTATAGAAAATGTGTGGGCAGAACTGAAAAAGCATGTGCGAGCAAGGAGGCCTACAAACCTGACTCAGTTACACCAGCTCTGTCAGGAGGAATGGGCCTAAATTCACCCAACTTATTGTGGGAAGCTTGTGGAAGGCTACCTTGAAACGTTTGACCCAAGTTAAACAATTTAAAGGCAATGCTACCAAATACTAATTGAGTGTATGTAAACTTCTGACCCACTGGGAATGTGATGAAAGAAATAAAAGCTGAAATAAATCATTTTCTACTATTATTCATATATTTCACATTCTTAAAATAAAGTGGTGATCCTAACTGACCTAAGACAGGGAATTTTTACTAGGATTAAATGTCAGGAATTGTGAAAAACAGAGTTTAAATGTATTTGGCTAAGGTGTATGTAAACTTCCGACTTCAACTGTATATACACTACATGACCAAAAGTACGTGGACACCTGCTCGTCAAACATCTCATTCCAAAATAATTTGCTGCTATAACAGCCTCCACTCTTCTGGGAAGGCTATTCACTAGATGTTGGAACATTGCTGCAGGGACTTGATTCCATTCAGCCACAAGCATTAGTGAGGTCGAGCACTGATGTTGGGTGATTAGGCCTGGCTCGCAGTCATCGTCCAATTCATCCCAAAGGTGTTCGATGGGGTTGAGGTCAGGGCTCTGTGCAGGCCAGTCAAGTTCTTCCACACTGATCTCGAGAAAACATTTCTGTATGGACCTCGCTTTGTGCACGGGGGCATTGTCATGCTGAAACAGGAAAGGGCCTTCCCCAAACTGTTGCCACAAAGTTGGAAGCACAGAATTGTCTAGAATGTTGTATGCTGTTGCGTTAAGATTTCCCTTCACTGGAACTAAGGGACCTAGCCCGAACCATGAAAAACAGCCCCAGATCATTATTCCTACTCCACCAAACTGTACAGTTGGCACTATGCATTTGGGCAGGTAGCGTTCTCCTGGCATCCGTTGGACTGCCAGATGGTAAAGTGTGATTAATCTCTCCAGAGATCGCGCTTCCACTGCTCCAGAATCCAATGGTGGCGAGTTTTACCCCACTCCAGCCGACGCTTGGCATTGCGCGTAGTGATCTTAGGCTTGTGTGTGACATTTCGGCCATGGAAACCCCATTCATGAAGCTCCCGACTAACAGTTATTGTGCTGACCTTGCTTCCAGAGGCAGTTTGGAACTTGGGTAGTGAGTGTTGCAACCGAAGACAGACGATTTGTACGCGCTACACGCTTCAGCACTCGGCGGTCTCATTCTGTGAGCTAGTGTGGCCTACCACTTCGCGGCTGAGCCGTTGTTGCTCCTATATGTTTCCGCTTCACAATAACAGCACTTACAGTTGACCGGGGAAGCTCTAGCAGGGCAGAAATTTGATTAACTAACTTGTTGGAAAGGTGGTATCCTATGACGGTGCCACGTTGAGCTCTTCAGTAAGGCCATTCTACTGCCAGTATTTGTCTATGGAGATTGCATGGCTGTGTGCTCGATTTTATACACCTGTCAGCAATGGGTGTGGCTTAAATAGCCGAATCCACTAATTTGAAGGGGTGTCCACATACTTTTGTATAAATAGTGTAAATAGAATGCTGATTTATTGTGACTCATTGGATATGTCCATTTAGAATTCAGCAAAGGAAACAACTCGACTGCCTCTCTCTTGTATGTCAATATTCAGAATGTCAGAGCACCCAGCCTGCCTTGCAAAGCTACTGACACCAGCTGTCTAGAGGGGCTGGGTGAAACCCCTCCTTCCTCTCCTCTCTATGGGAGCGTGTGCTCAGCTGGCCCCTATCTCCATCTTTTGGGGAACAAGAGAGGGGAGCAGGAAACCTGCACCATGCACCTGCGCACCACCAAGTACACCAACCCCCTCCAATCTTTTGAACACCCCCTACCTGTGTGCTCCTACCAGAGGTGGGACAAAGTAACTATTATTCGAGTCACAAGCAAGTCTCAAGTCACAAGATCCAAGTCTCAAGTCGAGTCCCAAGTAGAATGGGTCAAGTCTTGAGTCAAGTCCAAGTCGTGCATTCTAAGAACAAGTCAAGTCAAGTTTCAAGTCAATAAAAAAAATCTATACATGCAATGACTTGTTCAACTACAAATCGAGACCTTGGGACTATAAGGTTCTATCTGACATTTTTGTCAAAAATATGTTAGTCACATGTAATAGATCTTTAGATGGTTCTTCATACAGTACCAGTCAAAAGTTGGACACACCTACTCATTCCAGGGTTTTTCTTTATTTTTACTATTTTCTACATTGTAGAATAATAGTGAAGACATCAAAACTATGAAATAACACATTTGGAATCATGTAGTAACCAAAGAAGTGTTTAAAAAAATCAAAATATATTTTATATTTGAGATTATTCAAATAACCACCCTTTGCCTTGATGACAGCTTTGCACACTCTTGGCATTCTCTCAACTAGCTTCACCTGGAATGCTTTTCCAACAGTCTTGAAGGAGTTCCCACATATGCTGAGCACTTGTTGGCTGCTTTTCTTTCACTCTGCGGTCCAACTCATCCCAAACCATCTCAATTGGGTTGAGGTCGGGTGATTGTGGAGGCCAGGTCATCTGATGCAGCACTCCATCACTCTCCTTCTTGGTAAAATAGCCCTTACACAGCCTGGAGGTGTGTTGGGTCATTGTCCTGTTGAAAAACAAATGATAGTCCCACTAAGCCCAAACCAGATGGGATGGTGTATCGCTGTAGAATGCTGTCGTAGCAAAGCACCCCCACACCATAACACCTCCTCCTCCATGCTTTACGGTGGGAGATACACATGCGGAGATCATCCGTTCACCACACCACGACTCACAAAGACACGACGGTTGGAACCAAAAATCTCCAATTTGGACTCCAGACCAAAGGAAACATTTCCACCGGTCTGATGTCCATTGCTCGTGTTTCTTGGCCCAAGCAGGTCTCTTCTTCTTATTGGTGTCCTTTAGTAGTAGTTTCTTTGCAGCAATTCGACCATGAAGGCCTGATTCACACGGTCTCCTCTGAACAGTTGATGTTGAGATGTGTCTGTTACTTGAACTCTGTGAAGCGTTTATTTGGGCTGCAATTTCTGAGGCTGGTAACTCTAATGAACTTATCCTCTGCAGCAGAGGTAACTCTGGGTCTTCCATTCCTGTGGCATTCCTCATGAGAGCCAGTTTCATCATAGCACTTGATGGTTTTTGCGACTGCACTTGAAGGAACTTTCAAAGTTCTTGAAACTTTCCATATTGACTGACCTTCATGTCTTAAAATAATGATGGACTGTAATTTCTCTTTGCTTATTTGATCTGTTCTTGCCACAATATGGACTTGGTCTTTTACCAAATAGGGCTATCTTCTGTATACCCCCCCCCCCCTACCTTGTCACAACACAACTGATTGGCTCAAACGCATTAAGAAGGACAGAAATTACTAGCTTGGAGTTTGCCTTTTGGCAGTGCTGCAGAGATGGTTGTCCTTCT